ATGCCAAAAGTAACACGAAAGAGTTAAGTTCAGTTTTGTGTTATGACCCTAAATGTTATATACATGGCACATATGTATTCGATTTTCTAGAATGAAAATTCCTATTCCATAGGTTCAGCTACTGCATGAATCTTGTCTAGCTTATGTTTCTAACATACATACATCCGACTTTATTTGGATTTGGGTTTTATTATACCCTGAACCCATTAAAAATGGGTATAAGGGTATATGAACCCATTAAAAATGTATTTGTATTTGTGTAAAATCCAAATGTATGTAACAGGCAGAACGAAGCAAGCGATAAAAATCGATATCGATATCCTGTTTTTTGGGCAATTTTGGTAAATAATATGAGCTAGAGTCCCCAAACTTGACATATAGCTTCTAAAATAGAATATATATATGGATTTGATGTTGGCAGAAGAGGGTGCAGGGTATCCCCTAGTCGGGAGCTCCCGACTAGAACCTCTAATTTGTTTTTTTAACTTAGCACATGTGAAATCGAGACGCTCACACTATTCATGCGACCTGGCAAATATCAATTTACGGCTCATGAATTTCGTTGAAAATAATCGACTGCATGCGCATTCGAGTCCCACTCCGGTCCCACTCCAGGTCCGGCTGGGGGCACTTCAAACAATTGCGCCGCAATTTATGCTATACAATTTGTGGTACGACCAGGAACACGCATGAAGTTTTCGATTTGCCAAGCTATTTTTATGGCGCCGGCAACATTTGCTGATACGATTTTGGCCAATTGCCGTATTGCCAATTGGCGATTGAGCTGAACTGAACTGAACTGAAATTGTTTGCGTGCGGTTCATTGAGGCACATCCATCAGATACAACCGCAAAGAGATCGCAATGTTCAAATGCATTATGTCTGCGAGTGTTTGTGTATGTGTGTGTGTGTGTATGCATGTGCGTGTGATTGCATTTGTGTGTGTTTTTATGGCCACTCAACAAGCTGCCAGCTGTTTGGCTAAGCTCAGCTCAGATCAGCTCTTAGCTTATCTATGGAAAACATATATTTAAGTGGGTATCGATTTTGATGCTGGCAACGACCGCAGCTAAAGCTAATGCCAAATGCGGCTCCTCGTCGCAGCCGCATTGGTCAATCCCATCAACAAGTCTCGCTGGAATCGGCATTGTTCTCACCCTTTGTTTATCCTCGCCCTGGCTAAGCGCTTGAATCAAAAATCCTTCGGGTTGGGTCCGCTGCGCAATCACTTGGAATGCGAGTGAGACATTGAGACTTTGTCATCGTCATCGTTTTATGCAAATATTTCTCGCACATGCCGTTTCTCGTTTCTCCTTATTCCGCATTTCCTTTTTAATAGAAAATATAAATTTCATACTGCAACGTGAATACACTCACTTCAATATTTGCAAATATCAAACATAAATATATGACAAGACTTTTAGATATAAATTTTAGTGTTAACCAAAACAATTGCCCAAAAATTATCATATCTGGAAGTAACCCCTTTTTGTTTGCACTTGGGTTTGAAAACAAACTAAGCTCTAATTAAGATTTAATTTGTCTTTGCCCGTGTAAGGGTGTCGAATCGCCAGGTTTGCAAATGCTTTCACTGTCTCAGCTTCAAGCTCGAAGCAAGTGCATGATGTGAGTACGCCCCTTTTTGTTTTGTTAGAGTACCCGCCCTTCACTTAGAATATCATGCGTATATGTACTCACATTTCCAGGGTAAGCTGACGATCTAATGATGTGTAAATGCTTTGCTCTTGTTTAACAGAGGGTTGAAATTCTTGGACTAATTTAAGAAAAATGTATTTTTGATTGCATGATTTCTGATATTTTTTGTTGTTCTTCTTGTTATTGCTGCTGCACTCCCTCTTGCTGTAATTTGTAAAGCTATGCCTCAACTGCGTTCATTTAATGGCTGGCCGGCAAAATGAATACTTTCGCATTCGAGTAAACAAAACAAAATAAAGAAATTTGGCTGAGTAAGTAATAACTTAGTATAAACGTCTTCTTGGGCCTAAACAAATATTGTGGCATGTAGTTGGCGACTTAAATAAATTAGCTTTGATTATGGCCAAGGCCAATTGGTTGCCTTTGCCTTTGGCTTTGCCTCTTGGCTCTTGGCGTGCTTCCGCATCGCCTCGAGCGAGCAAAATTATCCAGAAGATTGAAATACTTATATAGCGCAAATGCTTAATTATATTGTTGGCCGTCGATGACGTAAAAGGCAAAAAGCCAAAAAAAGAAAGCACGCAATAAGCATATAAATTTTTCGTATACCCTGTAGCCATTAAAAATGGTAAAGAAGAGAGTCTAATATTTTACTGGCCAATGGCATCAAACACATGACCAGAAAGTTGCCAGCTGGACGAGCTTGTTTGAGTTTTCAAAAACTTTTCTATATCAGAGAATGTACGGGTAGATACTCTCAATTGAGATACTTTCAAGTAAGAATTTAAGGGTTCGATAACTTCACTCAGTTCTTTGAAAATCGATAATTATCGAACTTGCGTGAAGAGTTCCCTAAGTATGTGCACTTCACAAAATGTTGATCGTTGTAAACATTTATAATTAATTCCTACAAGGGTTATACTATAACCTATATATCTATACCCTATATATCTGTACCCTCGTTCCATTGTAAATAGTCTTATATTTAGTTGCCTTTAAATCTGCCATTAATAATGCTGTATGCAAAGATATTTTTTTTATTTTATGCGTTTCATTAACTTTTTTTTATCTTTTCTTTGTCGAATTATCTGGGTTTTGTTTTGTGTCGTAATTTTTATTATATATATATATATTTTTTGCTTATTTTCGTGTTTTTTTCTTTTGGCAATTTTTTCTGCATTTTGTTTCAGTTTCAGTTTTTGTTTATCTTTGCAGTTGCCACCCGTCCTCTTGACACTTTGATTTGTTGTTTGACTTTGCTTTATGTTTCAATTTTCCACTTTCATTTTCCTAATCTTTACCATTTCCTGTCTGTTCGGGGCCTGCAAGCGTGCTATAAAACCAAAATAGCCCACTCAAAAACCCGTACACCTTACACACACTCACACACACTCGCACATATAAGGCTGAGAGTGCTCGCCTCTTGAAAAAAGGCACAGCCCAAAATTCAACGCCAAAGTGGACAGTGTCCGTATCTCTGGTTCCTCCTGCCCCACCCGAGGCCAGACGAGGAATCTCGGAGCTGGCCAAACAGAGAATATGTAGTATTTGGGCTTGACTTTCGGTTTGCTGAGCGAATGGTTGCGCAAGTTCTTGGTTTTTGTTTTCACGGCTTGTTTATTTTTGCTAACACTTATCAAAATATTGACGATACACATATTGTTTTGCGTTGACTTCATGGGGCATAAAGATATCGGGGTCCACGCCAAAAAACAATGCCAAAGCAAAAGATAAATAAAATCACGTGGCCATATACTCTTGAATTTTTCAGCACATGTGCGTGTGTGTGTGCCTTCCATTTTTTTCTCTTCTGGATATGTCGTAACTTTCACTTTGTTGCCAGAGTTTTCCATGCTTTCCCCTATTCCTATACCCATCCCTATCGGCTACCCTATCCGCACTTTATTTGCCCCATTGCTGCTTAAGTTACTTTTTGTCCACGCTTGAATTTCTTTGCCCCATTCGAACTTGACTTGTTCTCTGTCTTTTGCTTTTTTGCCCTCTGCTGAGCTAAGCAGCTCATTTTCAATCGAGCATGTGCGTTGGCTCTGCGATTGTGATTCTGATTTTTCTATCTATCTGGCTTACGCTGGCTTTTGCACGCCGCCCTCACTGTTTGGCATTTGCTTTGTTTTTCGTCTGTTATTTTCATAAATAAATTTGCATGTGAAATGACATTGTTTATGGCATTCCTATATGTGAAGAACGCATGCTTTCATATTTCACTGACTCGACCCGGCGTCTTCGTCTTTTTGTCACACGTTGTTGACAGCTTTGTTAAAATATGTTTACATGCTCAAATTAGTCTCAGGCTCAGTTGCAATCTCTTTGACGTCCGGTTTCTATCGTCTGTTTGTCTGCGTTTCTGTGTCTGTGTGTCAAAAGTTGACATCCGAAATGAATTCGTAATTGAGTTTTGTTCGCCGTTCTCTGTTCCTTCATTCTAATTCTCGCCCGATTCGTATTTAATATTATCAACGTAATTCGCATTTATGTTACATATGTACTCGCATATGTATAACATGCTATTATTATTTTTTCTTGAATATATGCATATCAAGCCTTCTGTGTGCACCCCCACCTCAGCCTAATAGCATGGCGCCATGGAGGCGACTTATTTGTCCCAGAATTACTTATGCTCTGATGTGATCTGCTCTGCTCAGCTCAGGCCTGCTGTGCTGTAATTATTTCAACATTCTCATCACATTTGGATAGAAAAGAGGGCATAATTATTGAAAATAAGCCAAGCGCAGCACATTTGTTGCCTGGGCTCTGGCGGAGGTCCCCCTCAACACCAATAAAATCATTTGCTGATTAGCGACTTCTGCGTAACACATGCCATGGAGTTTCCTTATCAGAGCAAACATAACAAATTTATAAAAGTGGATAAATATGTATTCTAGTGGCTAAACGTGATTTGTTTATACGCCATGTGAGCCGACGGAAGCGAATACTCTGTCACATCTCTGCTGTTGTATTCGTTTTTTATTTATTTCTGTTGTCGTATTTCGATAAGGATATGCCTGAAAATGATTGCCAGATTTAATGTGACTTTTCACGAGTTGCTAATGTTATTAAAGGGATTAAAGTCAAGTGTTTACGAGAAATATTCTAAGCAGCTGACTGTGCTAAACATTCTCAGGATATGCATAAAAGTTATTTTGTTTATTTAGGACGCGCGAGGCACACTCTTCACATGGATAGATCAATCCATCTCGGGGATCTATAAGAATTCAATTAAACATACATGCACTAAGAAAATAGCCGCAGTACACAAACGTTGTGTAGTATAGTGGGAACTCTTGCGGAAAATATCATCAAGATCGCTTGAAAAACACAACAACTTTTCAACGTGAATTTATGTTTATTATTGTTCGAATGTGCCTTTACCTATTAAATGGGCAGACAAAATTGTTAGTCTGGGGCAAACGGGCGCGTAACAATAGCTGCATTTGGTGTTGGGAGAAGAAGTTTAGGGGTATCTACAAGTTGGACGCACTTTACTTGTTTCTGTTGTTGCATATTTACGTTTAATGTAAAACCACATTTCGACTTCAATATACCGCCTATTGACGAGCACTGAAATCCAACCAAATGCCGCCGTTGAGGGAAGAAATAAAGCCAAGTGGATCATACATGTTATCCTTGCGAGTCTTCGGATTGACTTTTACATCAAAGTTGGTTATAATTTCGACGAGAGCTGCTTTAATCTGGGCCAGAGCAAAGCGCATACCTGCAGTAGATCAGAATGTGTGAGTAGAACTAGGATCAGGTCAATTGCTATTTAACGTACCTATGCAGATGCGAGGACCATCACCGAATGCCATGAAGATGCCGCGCTCGCGATACATTTTGATCGCATTGGGCTCCAGAAAGCGATCGGGTTGAAACTCCTGGGCATTGGGGAAGTAATCTTCGTCGAGCATAAAGCAGGAATGAGGCACAAGGACTGTGGTGCCCTTCTCTATGGTGAAATTAGGTCCGTTTCGATTGGACAGCTCGATGGTTCGAGTGCACAGTTTGTTGGATATCGGCAGCGGTGGAAACAGTCGAAGGCACTCTGTAAAGGTAATACTGAGTTGTTGTTAACATTCAGTTGCTCCAATATTTACCATGCACACAGGCATCCAGGTAGGGTAGCTCGACAAGCTTATCGAAGGCAACAAAGCCCTCATCGTTTAGATGTGACTGCAGCTCCTCGCGCAGCCGCTGCTGTGCCTCGGCATTTCGTCCCAACAGCAGCAGAGTATGGGCCAGAACAGAGGCCGTTGTCTCAAAGCCGTCTAGCAGAAAGGTCATCGACTGGGCAGTTACCTGTCGCGTGTTAAGGCTCCGCTTTTTGGCCAGCTGCAGAATGTAGTCCAGAAAGTCGACGCGATCGGATTGCAGGCCAGCTGCCCGTTGGGCGTGGCGCGTATCAATCGCTACCTGCATGAAATCCACGAAGAATGCCTCGACATGCTTGGGCACTATACGTAGCTTATTGATTTTACTCAATGAGGGTATGAAGGATATTGCGACAAAGTTGAGCAAAAGGCTCCAGGACTGTTGGAACATATCCTTTATTTTGCCCATCACTGGCGTGGGATTGTCGGTAAAGCTCTGAGCACTGAGGCCGAGCACGCAATCGGTGACCATTTCTGTGGTAAAGCAGAGGCTGATCTGTAAGATCTTTGATTAATGGAGAATTTCATATATACACAATGTACCACTCACATCCTTGCCATTCAAGCCATCAGGTGCTGCACTGCGGATTTGTTTGCGAATGAATTCGTTCATCTTCTTGCATACTTGGTTGGTCACGGGGTAAACCGATTTAATCTGGCAGTATATATCATTTAATTAGCTGATATTAATCAAATTCTGCCAAAGCTTACGCGACTATTGGTTAATCCTGGAGTTATATCGGCGCGGCGCTCTTTCCAATTGTCACCGGTCAGTGTGAAAATATTGTTACCAACTATAAAGTCGGACTTCTCATCCACCAGGTTGGCCAGTTCGTTGTCGTGGAAATGCTTAAAGTCCGAAACAAAGACACGATGTGCCAGCTCCGGACTTACAACCAGCAGCTGAGGAGACCGTGATGAATAAATGCCAACTGCATCATATTGTTGCTTGTATTTGCTGTAAAAAGAGAAGGGAAGAAGAATAATATTCAAAGTTCCTATTAAATATAGTAACGAAACAATTACCAATAAATCTCATTAAGATCTTGTATAGCATGTTGCTTCATTTTGATCATGTTGGGATAGTTGCCGGTAAGTATTGCCGGGCTCGGACCAGGCACATTCCGCTTGCGCCAATAGCTATAGTTCCAGATGAGGAACACATAGCCCAGAGATGCGGCCAGCACCAGGAGTGTAATTGTTACCAAAACCATTTTGCCAGCTATTGTAACAAGTTACCAGCAGCAATTCTGTTTGCCAAGTGTGGCTCGAGTGCTTACTATTCGGCGTATTTATAGGTGGTAACTGTATCTGGTTCTATCTACCTTGTAGGTCAGTTTTCCGATAAGGCTAATCAATAAATGGTTTTAGCTGCTGCAACTGCCAGCTAAACAGTTGAAATAAACTGTTTGATAACGTTAATGTTTATAGCAATTACTTTTTGTTTTGAATTCAAACTCGCAAGTGAATGCTAAAATGTAAGTTGTGCTGAAATTGTGCAATTCTCGACATCTTTAGATTGATGCGTCGATTATCAGCATGGGTATCTGCTAGTCGGGCACTCCCCACTGAAGCACTCTTAATAATTATATTGCAATACTATTTAACTAAGCACTTCACACGAGCATTTCATTTTGCATTCGAACTGCGATACAAGTAGACGTCATGACAACATTTATCTGTATTATATACTTGCATGCGCATATTCTCAAGGCTCATTTACACATTTAAGAATCCATATCCCATATGTACGTCAAACGACCAAATTATAATTTTGTAAGCTATAAATTACCAAATGAATTCTATGATAAACTCATTGTTCCATTTTGTTGTAGATGGTAATTAGTATACGGTATATAGGTATATAGGTACATATCTGCGTATCATATCCGACGTTACGGGTCTGCCCCAAGTGAGTTTTTGCTTAATCATGATTGTATGTAAAAATAAATTAATAACGTACGATAGCAAAAACAATCAAACCGGTTTTGGGCAGTTCTAGGAACTGGCTTATATCAAAACATGATTTCTGTTCATTCATTTTGTTGATTTTTGTTTAACAATTTCGTTTTGGTATAAACAATTAAAGGCCAAAAGACAGCTGAGCAACATCTTAACTAGAGGCGCATTTTATATGCCCGCCTAGCCTCTGTTCACAGGTAAATTATTTATTTATCATTATTAAGTCAAATTGTATCAGATCAATAACGGACTACTGTATCGAATAGCTCAATAGAAAAAATCGAAAAAACTGCAGTTTTCCAAACAATATTCATATATTAATATTAAGAACTAGAACCGTGAATTATATTTTGCAAGTGTATTTTCACATTTTTTATTTGTGTGCTCATACCATTAGATCACTTCATATTGTGAACCACAACTGAGCATACCATTAAATCGGAGTTATATCTATATATCTTTCGCGCTTAAGCCAACGCGTGTGTTGCTTACGTGATGCCGCAATCGACTGTCTTTCTTATCGATTAAACTCAGGGCAGAGGCTCTTTTGTTGCTCGCTTCTCTTAGAATTTAAAAACAAAATGAGCAGCAAAACATTACAAATAGCCATTTCATCACTGTTCAATGAGCTCAGGGTTTAATGAGAGCAGTCGCTCTCTTGCGACACGCTCAACGTGTTGTATGCTCAGTGATAGAAGTTAGTCCCATTGTCGACGCGATGCCATCAACATCTTGATTGTTAGTAACCAGCCCGCAAATGTGGCCAACAGGAGAGAGCCCAAACGGCAGACTGAGCAGCCCAAGCGGCTTAACATAAAGTAATCTAATGGCAGTCAGTCGGTCGGTAAGTACTCCCAAGCACTTACGCAGCCTGCCACCTTGGAGCAGGAACAGGAGCAAAAGCTGGAGCAGGAGTTGGAGCAGGAGCTGTCGCTGCCACCGAGCTATCGCTATTCCCAGGACGCAAATTATGCATTAAGCTGTAGAAAAATGCCGCATAATGTTATCAGGCGGGCGAGTCAAGGCAAGCCGAAAAGGAGCCGAAAATAGAAGCTGACAAATGCTGCCCTTCGATACAAGCAGAGCAGAGTCTGAGCTGAAGGTAAATGGTGACCAAGGTGATTTCCTGTGTCTTAGCCTGTGTCACGACCAGATGACTCAACATAAACAGTTGGTAAGGCGAAAGCCGCAATCAAAATGTGTAAATTAGCACTTGATGCAACTGGGTCTGCCATTCCCACACCAATGTCCATTCCCTTCCTGGCATGAGGCTGAGCTCTGGCTGAGCTTGGCACTGGCTGACAGACGTTCGTGGTTTCGCTTGTCAGCGTCGACCTGTCGACTGTCAGGCTTCGCCATGTCGACCTGGTCGACCTGTATTCATATATTTCATGGCAAATTGCAATTTCCACTTTAATCTCCGCTGTGCTGTGCTGGCTCAGACTAAAACCAGGCCACACCCTTACGCCCACTCAGCTCTTGTCAACGGCCGCAGCTTATAATTTCGTTTATAATTACATTGACAGCAAAAGCAAAACTCAAGCTGTAGCTGCAGCGGTTACGCCTGCAGTAGCATTTGCTGAAAATCCAGCAAAAAGTGCCCACCTGCAGGCGACGCTTTCCTAATTAGCCCAAAGTACAGCGCCAGCAAACCATTTCAATGTGCATGTATGTCTGTGGGTCTGTTTATCTGTGTGTGTCTCTGCATGCCCCGTCATGGGGCACGTGGTAATTCGTTATTTCTGGCCATCAGCCCTCTGGCTAATTTGAGGCACCTGCCATATCCACCAAATAAGAGTCAACTGTCAACTGGCGCACATTGCTTTGCATATTGAATATGAAACTATTTTCGGAAGCAGGTATTAGAGAGCATTAACAATAAAGTCAATGATATTTCAGTATTGAGAGAATCTAACATATAATAACTTCTGTGCTATCTTTTAATGAATATTCTTATATTATATCTTAACAAGTTAACCAATTATAAGTTAAGCTTAATTGTAATTCGACGGAGGAAAGAGGGAGAGAGAGATTGCGGGCAAGAGATGGAGAAAGAATCATATAATATAAAATAATATTTAATGAAATATTTGTTATTTGTTTATTAATATAAATATAAGTAATAATTTCAACAACAACAACCCATTCAATATCAATATTGATATTAATATTAGCATTAATATAAATGTTAATGTTACGGACATACACATAGGTTGTTGTTGAAAGGTTTTAGCCTGACTTAGTTAAGGCAATAGCAACTATGCCTATTAACTGAGACCTAGCAACATCTATGCACAAAGCTTGGCAGTTCAGGCGACATCCCAAGTCAATTTGGCCTGACATCGAGAAAGTTGTATTAACACGACAGCAGCTAACACTTGCTTAAGCTGAGAAGCATAGAAGATGGACAATATTGTCTGGCTAAGACCAGGATTAAATAACCTCAATAACGTAAGTTGTATTGAGGAGCCCTGTGGACGAATTTAATTACTTAAAGCTTGCTGGTCTAAGCCAAGGCAAAATTCTGCTAGGCTAAATTCCGCCCGCTTGTATTCACATCTAATGCTGATGTGAACCAATGTGCAGTGGACACAGGAGTTGCGATTAAAATTTTCAATTTGGATAGTGAAAAAGCTAAAATATGCTTTTTAAAATGTTTGGTTCACTTATTAATAATGAAATTGCTTTGAAAGTAGAGAAAAGCTAGTCAAACTTTTGATGATGCCCCATTTTTTCTAGAAAATATTTCAGTCATGTCAGGTATCTTTACAAAAATGTAAACGAAAGTCACTTCTATGCTAAGCGAGTGTTTCAGCTGAATTTAGCTAAAGTTCATGTCTAGTTTCTTGCCAAAAATGTGTACAATTTTAGTTTGAAATATTCCTTGGATTTGCCAGTCTTGAATAGCCCTCGAGCAGGAAAGTACTTAATAAGCTGTTCAATAGCTCTCCTGGCTCTCGTTGGATTCTGTCGAATCCTTTGTGATATGTGTTCAATTGACATTTGAATGTCTTGCTGAAAATACACGAGGTAAATACAAGTACGCCCCATCTGCTTTTATTGTTGATGATATCAGCAGTTGCCTCTGCCGAAATGCCACCTCATATCATATCAATGTCTGAGGCCATTTACCAGCATTTCTGCATTTGGCAAACCTTTTTCTAATAACGCATGCCCATTTATCTGTGTGGGGGGCAAAAAAGTAATAAGCAAATAGTTGGCATAATTTGGCTAAGGACCAGCTCTAGAGCTTGAAGCCGTCAGGATCCGGTGACAAACGCTGAGCGCATTTCAACTTCCTTGCCAGGGGATACTGACCACTGACGTAATCAAATCGGCAATCACTAAAAGATATGTGTGCGCATCAATGTGCCCGAAGGGTTGGCTCCAGCACAGGGAGTGGTCAAATATTTGGGCCACCCACTCGATAAAATGGCAAAAAAAAAAGGACGCGGCTGGCGTGTGGCCTGTGCCTTGCCTGCAGCATATTTGGCCTGTCCCGAACAGTGCGTAAATTGCCATTTTCAAACACATTTCAATACATTTTTGGGTTTTTATTTTCTTCATTTTGTTTTTTTTTTTTTTTTAGGAAAGTTACTTTTGCACTGTGTCAGAAATTATTGCCTGGTGCGAAGTCGAGAGAGCTTCCCGAATTTTATTGCTTTTGCAGTTTGTCAGCTGCCCTGATGACTGGCATCTTTTCGCCTATCGTCCATCGTCCATCGACTGTCGACTGTCGAGTATCGACTATCGACTGTTGAATTGCGTATACGCCGCGTGTAACGCGAGTGTAAGGGAAAAGCTTCCATTTTTGTCGCAGCTCTTCTGTTATTGCGCTGTCATTTTATTGTCAGTCGCTGACGCTGACACACAGACACACAGACCGACAGTTTGGGGGGACAGACAGAGCGGCAGACAGACAGACAGGCAGTCGGCCAAAGGCAGCCTTTGATCTTGCCCCGTTCCGAAAAGTATGCAAAGCATTTTACAGCTTCCAGTATTGTGTTCTGTGTAAATTGCGCACATAAGTGAGGCGCACGTGCATGAAATGGCATCCCATCCCTTTTACACCCGCATTCCCTCCCCTTGCCCACGTCCGCATTCCAACAGAGATGCCAGTCCGAAGGCGTTGCATACTTCCTGGCCACCTAATGGCACACGGCAGCCAAGTGACGATGAAATTTTCAAAAAAATGTTAATGTTTTGACTATCTTACTGAACAAAAATGTATTTCTTTCCCTTACAGTATTATTTATGCTTGCCTAAAGTTAAAAAAAATTAAGCCAAATGTTAATTGGTTAAATACATTAAATATAAATGTGATGGAGCTATGAAGATTTTCATTCATTGGGTCATGGAAAATTACTATCTTATTTACTTTTATATATAATTATTATATATATTGTTTAAATAATCCATAGAATAAAACATCTGGCCATGTCTGTCTGTTTCTTTGCGAACAATACTCTCAGCTTTAAAGATAGCTTCTTGAAACTTAGATCCTTCTTTTCATTGCAGACAGCACATCTGTCGAAGCTTTTTTGCTTACCAAGATATCTTTATTAAACCCAGCATTTAATAGTTTTATCTTAACAAGATGGCATTCTATAAAATAGAGCTCTATGGAAAGAATCGAGTTATTGTATAGCAAAATATCCCAAGATATTTTCATCGAACTTCCCATTAACGACTCTCACTATTTTCACATATGTGCAAGTCTATGAACGAATTAAATCTTCGGGATATCGTATATTTCCTATTTTATATCCAATTTGTCGTAGTTTAAGCTGAACACAAATTACCAATAACTCACTCAGACGGGAAACACAGTTTTAATTGTAGTGCCATCTTTTTCCAACATACGCTTGTCAAAATTTATTAATTGACAAATTTTTTGAAAGCTGTTGAAATATATTAATTATTACTTTGATTGCATTTTACCAACAGTTGAGAGGCAATTGCAAATTGCAACTAAC